TGTGGCTGCTCAAAGGCTGTGACTATCCTATGGCTGAGAGACACCACAGAGAACACTTGGTTTAGTCTTTATCAAAGAGTATGGAGACATGTGAGGCCCTGCTTTGACCTTGTTTTTAGGGAACCATGCCTGGATAAGAATGCAGGTGTCCTGAGTGACCCCAATTCAGAGCTCTTTCTGTTCACCCAGGCTATCTCCCCAACTCTAACCTTACTTATAAAAACTAACCAAAAAGTCCTCTTTTTTGTTGGTACCGGGGATCGAACTCAGGACCTTGTGTTTGCGAGGCAGGCAGCAGAACCAGTGAGCTAAATCCCCAGCCCCATAAAGTCCTCTTTTTGAGGATTTGTAATCTTGATTAAATTCTCTCTAAAAATTCTCATGAACATAAAATCAACATGCTAATTCTTCCTTCTTTTGCCTTGCAATTCCTACCTGTTCCCCCCTTCATCTCTGGATCTCTTTCTCCTCTCCTCCCCTCTATTGTCCCCACCCCCCTCTCTCAAGTAACTGTGGTCTTGATAATGTATTTCTGTCTCCAAAATACACCTAAAACATCCCTCTGGTCCTTTGGCTAATTACTTCAAAATTTATCTACTGACCTAACCTGATCACTGAATTCATACATTTTCAATTTTCCCCTACCATAAATTTCCCCATCTCAGTAAATTATAATACCTCAAGTCAAAAACCCAAGATCCAGACCTAATTTCTTTCCTTTCTTCTCAGATACCCAATTCATCAATAGTATGGCCATCTTTTGTTGTTTTGGGATGAAGGTACATACAACTGGGCTAATCATAGTCCCTGGTTCATAACACAGCACCAATGGACATTTATGCACAGCATTTACCTTTAATGATAAATGAAATCCATAAACTCACCATCCAACCCAGGGACTTAGATATTTGCTTACTTCCTCTCTATGTTTCCCACACTGAGTAACCATTATATGGACTTTACACACACATTTATGCACACCTATTCAGTGTCATCTTTTCTGAGAAAAATATTAGGGTATTTCACTCCATTTATGTTAACTTGCTGTGCTGCAAGTAGTTGGCCACTCATTATGCTGCTATGTGGTTGTACATTATGTGCACACACAATAAACTCCCACAGATGGAGATTTGGATTTTTCCCCAGAACATTCTTATTTATGTATTCTGGGGCTCTATGTGCAAGCATTTCTTTTGCATCTATATCTAAAAGTGGAATTACTGGCCCATGAGCATATGAAAGTTCAACTTTTCAAATGAATAGTTTTTCATAGTGGATATACCACTTGACACTCTCATTAATAAGATGTAAGTGACCCTATTAAAATTTTCAAAACTTGACAGTCAAGTTTCTTAATTTTTGTCAATTGAATAAATTTAAACGTCATTTTGGTCCCAGTTAGTTTCTCTGATGAGCAGTGGTGAAACCTTTTAATGTTTATTAGCCCCTATGTACTAATTCTATGGAAAATTTAAGACTTTTGCCCACATTTCTGTGAAGTTTCTGTTCTTGTAGGTTTATAGAACTTCTGTATATATTCTTCTGTATATATAATAATTTAGTACTGGCTATGTTATAGGTTGGGCTTCTTCAATGTCTTTTGATGGAAAGAAGTTCTAATTTATATTACAGTACAATTTAATTTTTTAGGGTTACCTTTTGTGGTTTCTGTGGTTTTGTAGTTTTGCAATTTAAGATGTTCTTAAAGCAAATTGAGGAAGATACTGTTATGGCTTGTATCTAGATGTCCCCTCAAACTCTCCTGTGCTCACAGGTGGGGCTTTCTGGAAGTGGCTGGATCAAGGGTATGTGGATATGGATTAAGGGTGTGTGATAACTAAATCAGGCCATTGATTGGTTTAGCATAGTTCTATGTGGATAATGGGAAGTCTCACCCTGGATGTGGGTGGCACCAACCAATAGGCTTATAGCCTGAATGGAATAAAAGGGAAAGGGAGGTTCACTACAGCTGTCACCTACCTGCCATATCATGAACCACTTCTCCTCTGCCATGCCCCTCCACTACACTGCCCTGCCTTGGAGCCAGCCAGCTATGGGCTGAAATCTCTACAAACTGTAAGCTAAAATAAACGTTTCCTTCCTTTAACTTGTGGATGTCAGGTATTTTGTCCTGGCAATGAGAAAGTAACAAGACAGATACCTACATTTTCTAAATATACTTCACCTAAATTTTGTCATCAAAATTTCTAAAGTTGAAAGAAGATTTAAAACACTTGTTTTGTGTGTTGTGAGGAAGAGGTACAATTTCCTTTTTCTTGTCAGCTCCATTTCATGAAAAGTTGTACCATTGATCTACCACACACCCTCTGTCAATATGAAGTTTACATGCATGTGTGGGGTCTGCCTCTAGTCATTTTTTCCATTTCTGCACTTATAACACACTCCAGCAGCCTTACAAAAAGTGCTTCTCATAGGATATATCCCCCCTTCTTTTTCTTCATTAAAGCCTTGATCATTCATCATTTACTCTGCCACATAAATTTGTGTTTATCAATTCTAGAGCAAATGTTGGGATCTATTTGGAGATGCATGAAATCAATTTAAAGGGAACTGAGAGGGTTTTTTAGAATATTTTTTCTACTCCTGAACATTTCATCACTCTAATCCTTAGTATCTTTTTCGTAAAGTTTTATAACTTTCTGCATACAATTCTGGCATATATTTGATTTAGATTTATTACAGGGTACTTTAGAATTCCTTTTTCAATTATTTGGCATTTTCGAGAAATTCTGTTTTCTAACTGCTTGTAGCTGGTGTATGAAAGTACAATTTACAATTACATATTGATCTTATATTTAGTCACTTTACTAAGTGCTCCAATTTGTCTAATAACATGATGGAAACCTTTTTAGATTTTCTATGCAATCATATCGTTTGAAAATGAGTTTTACTATCTTTTTTTTTTTTTTGGTACTGGGGATTGAACTTGGGACCTTGCACTTGTGAGGCAGGTGCCGGCACCACTGCCCACTATCTCCTTTTAATCATACTCTTATTTCCCTCATTACAATTTTAAATAAAGTGAGGATAAATTATTTTCTTCTCACTAGAGAATGTGTCTATTTCTCTCCTCCCCAGGATGTTTACTGTAGAATTTTTGTAGATAACTGTATCATGTTGAAAAGTATTCTCCCATGTACAGATTACTAAGAGCTGTTATTTATATTTATTTTAAAATATATTAGTATATATTAATTTTATAAAATGTTACATTTAATGCAGTATTTTCTACATGGACATATTTTGATCATATGCATACCCTCAATGGGTACCGATTTTATCAAATATTTTCTGCATCTACTAATCAAGTGGTTTTTCCACCTTTATTCTACATGTGGTGAATGAGATTTACCAATTTTCTAAATATCACTTTTGCATTACTGGGATAAATACCACTTAGTCATGTCTAGATCCAGGACTAAAATGGACCCATAATTTTCATTTCTGGCACTGCCCCTATTTGGTTTTACTACCAAGGTTATGTTGGCTTGATGTAGCAGGTGCCTTACTTTATGCTCTGGAAGAGTTTGTATATTAGAATAATCCATTCTTTAAAATTCTAGAAAATCATCTATACCTAGAGTGTCTTGTAGGAAAAATTTTAACAATTTCCTTTAACAGTAAAATTATTGCTTGGGCTTCTGATTTCTTAATTAAAACTTTTATTAAAATGTCTCTACTTTAATTTTCATTTATTAGTATGCTTCTATCTGTTCAGTATCTGCATCATATGTAATGGCATACATGCTTCCACTCACAATACTAGTTTATCTGTGCATTTTTCTTCTCCATGATACACTCGCTCCATGTTTGTTATTTCATTAGTCTTTTCAAAAAATTCAACCAATAGCTTGGTTGTCTCTCTATGCATTTTTGTTTTCTATTTCTGCTCTGACCTTCAGTTTTACTGTATCTTATTGCCTTCCTATAACTACTTCAATTGGGCACTTAGCTCATTTTCAAACTTTTAAAAAGGGATTTAAAGCTATAAAATTTCCCTTGACGCGTAACTTTCACCCTGTTTTTAGTATTAATCAGCCCTTAGAATCTTGAATTTTAATTATTTCTATTATTTACACTATTTATTAGTGTTTGTCTTCTGCATGAATTCAACTTATACTGCTATGTAGGACTCATCTCTATCCTTAATGTTTTTGTCCATTTGGTCTGCTAATAGTGTAACTACACTAGTTCATCTATTATTTTCCTGGTACCTTCTTTCCATTCTTTGATTTTCAACCTTTCCGTGTCCTTATGTTTTGTAGATAAATATATATTTTAATTCTATTTGACTATGTGTTCATAAAATGAACTGCTAAGTTTAATCTCACCATCTTATTTCCATTTCATACTACTTCTCTACTTGGTCATTTTTTTTATCATCTCATTTTTTTTACATCTATCTTCCTTCTAACAAGAAGTTTCAAATATCCTCATGTAATCTGGTCTCTCCTCACTCCTATTGTATTGATGTTGTAGCAAATTTTAGTTTCTGAAGATTACGGATATACTTTCTGCTCTTTATATCCTTTAGTCCTGCTTTTTATTTATTCAGGTTATTAACAAACTTTCCCTTTTTTTGTTTATTGGGTCATAAAATTCTAGGTTTGAAGTTCTTTTCACATTCAATTCCACATTCTTGAGATGGTCATAGTAATGATTTCTACCATACAATCCTCAAGTGTCCTTTTGCATGTGGGCTCCCATCCAGTCTGGTGACTCAATCTTCTACAGCTAAAGTTGATCAAACCTCTAGGCAGGTCTGAAAAAAATGTCATCTTCAGAAAACCTGTTCTCTCATGCACACTGTTACTGTGATTATAAATTGGTTCAATTTTTCTGAAGGGTAATCTACCCAGGTAAATCAAACATTTTAAAATACATATACATATACCTTTATCCAACAATTTTGCTTCTAGGCGGAGAAAAGAATCTAATGTTCAAACATAGTGAAAATTATATAATCAACATACAGTGACTGAAATGTACAGATTTATTCACAAGAAAACATTTGACACTTAAGATTTTTTTAAAAAAAAAGAAAGGCTACACTATTTCAGTAGGAAATATCTGAAAACTGAAAGCTATTCTCTAAAAATATTAACAGTAGTTTTCTCTAGAGGGAAAGAATAGTTTTTCATTTCTTCTTTTTGCTCTTCTATACTTACCATATCTCCACCATGAATGTCTTTACCTTTATAAATAATTGTAATAATTTCTTCACACAAGTCAGTTTGTATGGTCACTTTATACTTCAACTGTACTATTCTTTTAATCCACACCCCTTCAAACCTGCTTAAACATACACACTCCTTATGTATCTTTATATGCCTCTAATGATATGATCACACTCAACACACATAAATCATGAGCACTTATATCATGATATGTTGAGACTGCATCTCTGGGATAAAATGTGACTGCCTTCCCTCTCTAATATTTAAAAAAAACAACGTAAAATGCATTATTTAAATTAGAGCAGAATGATAAATATGGTAACTTTCAACCTTTTAGCAAGTCATTCTCGAAGTAAAAGTATTGTGAAGCCCTATACATACAAAAGATAAAAATAGAGGTGAGTCCTGTCCATTAATAATCTTCTTCCTTGCCTCAGTCTGCTGAAAGTATGAAAACCACTTAATATGGCCTGCTGACTCTAAAAGGCCACTTTAGAGCTAGAAGAGAAAAACATTCATTCAATGTAACATATATATATATACATACATCTATTTATTTATTTATATATTTATTTATTTATTTATTGAGGGGAGTTTTGCATCTATAAATTATAATCACTAGTACACCTGTAATTCTTTATATTACAGTGTGTCCAACTAAAGAATAAGCAAACACAGCATAGGTCAGTGGAAAAGAAATCACGGTACTTCTCAGTGTAATGTGCAAAAGGGGGAAAAAGTCTTAGACCCACTTCTTGGAAATAAATATTGAGTAAGCACAAAAATATTCAGCCATTTCCAGTTGTTCAGGAAGGTTCTGCATGGTCCCACGCAGTGCATCAGAGTTCCTCTTTGAAATAACCCAGCTTTGCCAATGACATCTCTTTTCTCAACTGCATAACTTCCCAAAACATTTGATCAACTACACAGAGAAAAGAGACATGTAATTCATAACTTACCATCTTAACTATTTTTAATGTTTCACTGAAAATTGTGGATTGGCTGAAATGTCAAATTGGGCACTTCCTAATTGTACTAATGCCTAGACAACCCTTCAATAGTTCACACAAATTTTTCTATGTACTTATGGGCATTCTAGTTTTTATTAGTAAATAAACAATATTCATTAGTTTTGTCACAATTGTTAGATACATAAAAGACTATATCACTTTAGCCCAAAGAAAAGTAGACATTTCAGAGTCCTGAGTAAATGTCAATGTTGCTCCATTCATAAGTGAGTATACTTAATGTTCCATTATTCAAATTACTGTCTAGCAAATGCATCTTCTTGCTCTAGTATACTATATCTTGGTCATTTTACTCTTCATTAACACTAACAGAAAGTGAAACAGGAAAAAAAAGAGATAATCCAGAAAACTCAGTAACATTCTTTGTAATAATATGGAAAGGTTTTGTGTATGGCTCAAATTAGAAATAAAAATAAATGTAAGGGATGATCTGTAATCTATCTATCGGTACATTCTGTGATCATACTAGATTGATTAATAAAGTAAACTGTCTTCCAGATGTCCTTGTAGATCTTTTAACAAGGAGAAAAATAAAATATGCTTGACATTTTAGCATAAATCACTTGTTCTCCAGTTTAAATCATATTATCTACCAACAACAGGTAATCAAAAAGATTTCAATTTTATTAATAAAGTTATAAAAGTATTACAAAGCTTAAACACTACTTTTATGTTATACAGGCTTTTGAAATTCATGAATAATTGAAGATAGGTGTTATCTCTCTTCTTGTAAGCATTAAAATTCAATTATATGGCATTTCTAAATAAATGACTTTTGAAAAACATACCAGAGCTTGAAAGAGGTTAATCTAAGTTTTTGACAGACTAATTTTTCATAGAATTGAGATTAACTAGTCTATATAACTGAATGGTACCAGGCATCTACTAGTTTTTAAGTACAAGAATATTTTCAGTGCTTAAAAAATATAAACAAGAAAATCTCCTGTAATTTCAACTGCAAAACTGGCATAGACTTGTTCCTAATCTAGTATCTGCTATTACAGTTTTAACTCACATTCAAGAAATACTGCTTTGTAGCTGTCAAGTCATATCAGTTTTTATGCCTGATATTAAAGACACTATGTTATAAAACCATCAGGATTCCTGGAAGACTACATTAAAACATTAACACATTTGCAAGAGCTTGCATGGCTACATACATCATCTTCACGTTTCTGAGGATTTAGAATATGGTAATCTTTATTCAAAATAGAATTATTTCATGATGGCTTTATTAATTCACACGTGAAAGAGAATACAGGAAAAAGTGTTAGCTTGTTCATAGTTTTTATCAAGATAAATCTAAGCACTTCTTTTTTTTTTGGTACCGGGGATTGAATTTGGGTCCCTGCGTTTGCACAGCAGGCAGCAAAACCACTGAGCTAAATCCTCGGCCCTGTGACCACTTCTTGCTCATTTTCATCTTGTAAAGAATGAATTCAATAAGCTTCATATTCTGCTCACATTTACCATCTTGTTTAGCACATATCCCTTACAAGTTAAAACTGGTCCTGCTTAAATTCAAAAATATAAAGCAAATAAAATGATTAAATGCATTATTTTTATTAATATGTATTAACTGTATAAATTAATGGGTTTCATTGTGACTTTTCCATATTTTTTAAAAAGGCTATCTATTCCCAAATCACACATTTTATTAGAACTATAAAAAAATTCAACATAAATGTAGAAACAATGAAGTTTATTTGAGCATTATTATTTGTCCTTACACTTTTTGCTACATCTTCATATAAATATTTATAATGAATAAACAACACTTACCATCCTGCTGTTTCACAAGTCCTTGCTGAATATATCGAATGTATGTGAAAAAATTACATACAGAAGTGATCTAGAACAAATGTAAAAAATGTCAGGAGCAGTTGAATGTCTTATATCAAAGCAACCTTTATAAAAACTCATGGTAAGTCACTTACCCTATATCTGCAAAAAGGAGAAATATAATAATAGTTGCTTGAGTCCCCTAGTTTAATTCTGTGTTTACAGGACTTAATCTGGCCAGTGAGAGCACATTTTCTGTAAAATAATGATAAATTTCAGTTTTTTAAAATTAGAAGCATTATGCCCCTATGCTCCCTACAAGATGTCTATTCATTCAATAAGAATATTTGAGAACCTACTAGGAACCAGGCACTGTTTTGGATGCTTGGCTACAGTGATGAGAAGGAAAAGTCCCTGCCCTCTGGTATAAACATAATATCATAACACTAACTATGGTTCTAGATATAGAAATTAGGTGTTTCCCAGAGATGGTTACACGAGTAACCAGCTGCAGGAGAGCACTCAACTTTCCACAGGATTTTAACTTCTCAGAAGAAAAGAATCTAATGGTAACTGTTCAAGTCTCAAAACCTACTATTGATAGCTGCAGAGTAACAGCTTCCAGATAGGGTACTTTGCTTGGTTGATTGGTTTACATGCATTTCATATGGAACACAGGGAGAAGTACAAAGGAATAAGCCATCTTAAAAACACACTGATCCTAACACTATATAAAGAGTACACTATATTTCATACCATTCTTTCTATTTGTATACCATAAAACCTAAAACTTGGTATGAGGGCTTTCCGGGCTAGGATTAGGCTATAAGCCTCTTGAGGACAAGGACTTTATCTTACACATCTTAAAATGGCTGGCATCACACATATGTATGGGACACAGCAGACATTTGCCAACTGTTGAACAAGTGATGAGCCACCTGCCACTCTACTCTCCATGAGAGGAAGCTAATTTGTCTATAAGGCTGGCCTTGCAACATTCTATCATCATCATAAGCCAGGAATTTGGCTGGATATAACTACTACTCTTTATCAATGAAAACTCAGCACAGCTCTCAGTATAATAGAGTGCCAGTGACATTTTATATGACATTTTTAATTATATAATAAAGAGTATCTGAACATAAAATTTCAGCTATAACTACAAGAAATACATGTCAGCATATTAAGAAAACACAGAAATGAATTATTTGGATAATTTGCAAATTAGAAACTGTTCTTACCTTTTCAAAGAGATTTTGACTCATTATTCCTTCATTAGCATTATTCCTTTATTGCTTTATCTGTAACAATATCTATTAAGAACTACTAACTTGGGGAAGATAAACTAAGGTTCAATTTAAATTTTCAAAAGTATAATTTACTCAAGAGGAAAAAAATAGCATTAAACTGATAAAAAGTAATTTATGTTATTCTTCTGGAAACATAAATACACTTGTCATCTACTGTCTTTTGTAATTTTGAAAGGGCTCTACTGAAGTAGTTTTAAGTATAACTTTTAAAATAATACAGTGTTTCTTAAATGATCTCATTTCTTTTTTCTTTTTTCTTTTTTTTTTTTCTTTTGAGACATAATCTTGCCATGTAGTTCAGGCTGGCCTTGAACTCACTACGAAGCCCAAGCTGGCCTCGAACTTGCAGCAATCCTCCTGCCTCAGCTTCCTGAGTGCTGGGATTACAGGCGTGTGCCACCATACCTGGCTGATCTCATTTCTAAAACCATTTAGAAACCATTTTTGTTTTGAGTCAGGATTTAATGCTATCTTCTGTCTTCCCTCCAATTTCTTTACATGCTATAATATCTTAGTATATTTTAGCTTTACTCTCAACATTTTAAATCCCTGCTTGCCATTTTCACATAAGAATGTCAACATGTTTAAAGCTAGACCCCTAATCTTTCCACAGCCACAGCTTCTCTTAGTAATTTCCAAAGTTACTCCAAATCATTGTTCCAGTCAGCTACCTCTAACACCTTTCTCTTTTACCCAGCCCATGACCTCAATTGAATTTTTCTTTCTTGAGATTATCACATCCTCCTTTCTTTTCCATACATTCACCATTCTCTGAACACACTTTGCTTCCCTATTTCTAGGCCCTCAGTAATACCACATGTTTTTCTTTTGATGTTTCTTGTGGTACGGGGGGGGGGGACCCAGAGGTGCTCTGTCATTGAGCACCTCAGAGCTTTTTTATTTTTTTTTAATTTGAGGCAAGATGGCACTAAATTGCCCATGCTGGGGTTTTTTTGGTTTTGTTTTGTTTTCTGTTTTTTGAGACAGGGTATCACTATGTAGTTCGGCCTCACCTTGAAATCATTATATAGCCAATGCTGGCCTTGAACTCATGGCAATCCTCCTCCCTCAGCCTACTGACTACTGGGATTACAATCGTGCACCACCACACCCAGCTTAATTGCCCAGGCTGTGTTAGAATTTTCCATCCTGGGCTGGGGATTTAGCTCAGTGGCATCACGCCTGCCTTGCAAGTATAGGGTCCTGAGTTTGATCCCCCGTATCAAAAAAAACAAACAAACAGTTTTCCGATCCTCCTGCCATACCCTTCCAGGGGCTAGGATTACAGGCATGAGACACAACATCTAGCCCAATTGTTCTTTATCCAAATTCCACCCACACTTCAAAAATTCAATCAAATCTCCCTCCCTCCCTCCAAGAAGAGTCCTTGACCACAACTGGAATAGTCTTCTCTTCTTCAAAATTCCTATAGCCCTGAGCCATTTATTTATAGTCACTATCTTTATAATCTAATCTCCAAGAGCTTTGACCAGGGCTATACTTTACATTTCATTAAAAAAAAAAAAAAAGACAATTCCTTCACTTTTTTCCACATAATAAACATTACAAAAAGCTTGGATTCTGGCTTCAAACCCAAGCACAATATCCTTAAACTAGTAAGTTAGTCTCTAAATCTATACCATACAGTATGATTATTTCACTAAAGTAAATCTACTGTCACTGATATTCCCATTTGTCATCATTTAATATTTGCATACGGGTAAAGTGGTATCTACTGCAACAACAAAATTTTAATTTTACAATTAAAACTGTCATGTGCTATTTTAAAATAAGGTATGACATGGGCCTTAAAAGTATAAAAATTGCTGTTATTACATGTGATTCTCCACTTTGGGGTGGATATAGGATTTAAGAATATAAATCCCTTCCTTAAAGTTCAGAGGGCACTGTGTCACAGGAATGTCACAGGGTGAGTGTAACACAGGATACAATTCCGGGTGAAATGTGAGGCTCACAAAACAAATATGTGGCCGTTATCCTCCAGTCACATAAACATCAAATTCTGTTATTTTGCTGAGAATTTATGTAAATTATGAGAAACAGAGAACTGTACTTCTACAACAGGCTTTAACCAAAATTTATTAGTTAATCTCTTCTGGCTTCAAAATAATCCTGATAGTAATCAATTGCTTTCTACAAGCTTTCTCATTCTTTCCAATCTTTAATTAAGCTGCTTCTTAATCACTATGAAGCTTCCTCAAAAGCTTTCCAAGTCATTTGTTTTGTTTTGTTTTGTTCTGGTACCGGGAATCAGACAGAACCTTGCGCTTGCTTGCGGGGTGCCACTGAGCTAAATTCCCAGCCCTTCCAAGTCATTTGCTTAAACAGAACCTAAGGCCCAATTATTAGGCAAAACATTTCCATTGCCTAAGTTTTAGATACAATTCAATTCAGTCTTTCCTCTTTATAAGACTGGATGAAAAACCCTGCCCTGCAATGAAATATGCAGCCTTACCTCTGAGGATTTATAATTCTCAAATCTTTGTCATATAAAAAAGAACTGATTACCAAAGACAGAATCCTTTATAATAACTATATGAAAAAGGTAAGGGCTAAAAAAGACTTTTTGGCAAGCTTGGTAAGATTTGGTCTAACTCAGTACCTCCCAAACTATTTTTTATGGCAACCCTCAAAAAAATATTTTACAGATACCCAGTACACACAGCTATACACATGTATAATACAAACAAAAATTCTGTGATGTTTTTAATATTTAGCCTACCTAGATTCCTATAATTCATATACGTATATATAATTCATATTCATAAACATACACAGTAATTAAAAGGGCTCTTTTTCAAAGTTAAATTTGAAACGCTATATCCCACATTGTCTGGAGATTTGTCTTTGGGCTGCACAGACTCTAAACAGAAATCTGAGAAGAAATTAAAACACAATTAACACACACACACACGAAAAAAAAAACCACTAAATAACTGCAACATACAAAATTTCAAATCTCATCTTCCACAAGCCACAGAAGTGAAAACCTACTTTGGTCCTCCACATTCAACTGCAGAAGCTTTAACAAATCGAATAGGTTGTAATCCCACTGGTTCAATGCTTAGAGTATTGTTTTCCACAGCCTCCAGAACAGCTGAAGCCAACTTAAAAAAGGAAAGTATTGGATCACTATGCTTGCAGAAAAATATCAAAACTGTATTCAATAGTAAAACCAATTTCATAAATTATTCTCCCAAGTTTCACTAACTCAACTTTAGCCAATGAAAGAAATCAGGTAATCTTGATTTATTTCATAATTCAAACACTGTTATGAAAGGCAGTTCAGTCATAGTGAAGTAACTTTTCCCATTACCTAGAAAAGGGTTAAAAGTGTTAATTTCAGTCTTTGTCCAGCCTTTATCCACAATTAACATGTATGTAAAACCACATCAAAATGAATATCCTAATGCTTTATTCTGATAAATTATATAACAAATACTAAGTATAGCTATATATTTTCTCAACTTGCATTTATATGTACAGGAGTCTACAAAAAATAAGTTGTAAAATATCAGGTCTCCAGAGTAACACTTGACAATTATCAGATAAGAAAGGCAAACTTCTCCAGTCTGGTAAGATTAAGACTGGCCTATCAGAAACCAAGTGCATAGCCACCAAAAACAATATATATTCATATCAAAAGTGTTATACTATTCATTTTCAGTTATCCTTACAAGTAATATTATAACTAATCCTTAAAAGATTTAATGAAAGATTCTTAGGATTAAATTTCTTAAACATTAATTGACAAGGTATGTGGAGATAAACTTTTCACACATAAGAACAAACTGGATGAGTTTACATTTGTATAATGCCTTATTTTTTTTAATTCATTAAGTTTATTGGTACATTTTAGGTATACAATACAGTTACATTCATCATTAGGAACTTGCACCTTTACATGATGCATCTTGGTTCTTATTTTTTCCCCTATTCCCCTGCCCTCTCTTCAACCCCTCCTCTCCTCCCTATTTACAAAGACTTTGTTTCCGTTTTTTTCCTTTTCTCATATTTTTTCCTTTCCCTTCTTTCCTTTCCCCTACCCTTTCCACTTCCCCTTTCCCTTCCCCTTTGGGCCTTTTCTTCCTATTTCACATTACCTATTATACTCTTTTTTTTTTGGTACCGGGGATCGAACTCTGGACCTTGCGCTTGCTGGGCAAGCACCGGAACCACTGAGCTAAATCCCTGGCCCCTATTATACATTTTGATGCTCATTTACACTTTCATTTTCTCACACCAGAGAAACAACTCCAGGCATACCTAGCCACCTTATCTTTGACAAAGGAGCCAGATATCCTCAGGAAAGAAGCCACTTTTTCAACTTGCCAAAGATTAAAACTAGACCTGTATCTCTCACCATGCACTAAACTAAAATTGAAATGTATCAAAGATCTAAATATTAAAACAACACTATGCCTTATATTTTTAAAGTTTTTGTATCTACTTAATCTATTTCATTTTTCCTTTTAACAACATTGTGACATATGCAAAGAAGGCATTATTATTCCAGTTTTAAAGATGAAGAAACTAAATATAATTTTTCATCATGTATGGATAAACCCAACAAGCATTTTTAAGAACTTCCCTTACACTGAACCTGGGACTGTGAGTCTTAAACCCTCTTCTTCTCCCCATATGTATTTATACTTCACTCCAATGCAATAAACGTTTCAGTGTCAATTAGCCTATGCTCAAATAAGAAAAGCTATTCAATTAACTGAATGTCAACAATTACAACCCTAATATAAAATGGAGAAAATGGCAAAAACATGACATTTTATAATACTGTGGACCATTGAGTTACGACCAAACTCACATACTAACAACTTGGGTTATGACTGGTGGAATTTTAGCTTTAACATATGACCAAAGATTTGAGTTACAACCCAAATGCTGGCCACTTGAGGTTGTAAACAAAGATGATGCCAAAGGAGTATATGTAAGTGTATGTAAACATCAGTCTGAGCTCAAATGCGCATGTTTGTAGATGTTGTTGCTATCAAAATGGCCCTAAAAAGCTAGAAAAGAAGCTAAGAAAGGAAGGGAAGGTAAAGCAATCACAATTGAAAAGAAGAAGAAAATTGTGGATAAATATGAGAAAGGCATTCATGTAACTGATCTCACTAATATGTGCAGCACCATATGGACAATCTTACAGAGAAAAAATCTGTATAAGGAAGCTACTGCTGCTAAGGGTGTTACTCAAATTAGCCACAATCAACAGTGTTAGATGAGGTAAAAAGGCTATTATTAGTGTGGATAAACAAAAGGCAGATGGCAGCTTATAGCCTGAGTATATAATTTGTGAAAAAAGCTAGGGCTATAAATAAAGATCTCATAAAGGATAATCCATCAATGAGTGATAATGATGAAACATTTCAAGCCAGTAAGGAGGGGTTTCATGATTTTAAAGTGAGAACTATGGTTCACAGTGTAACTAGGGATGGTGAAGCAGCCAGTGCTGATAAAAGGGCTGCTGAAAATTACATATCCCACTTTGAAACAATGAAATGGCTTTTCCTCTCATCAAGTTTTCAATTGTAATGCAACTGGCCTTTCCTGGAAGAAAATGCCCAGGAGAACATATATTACCCAGAAAGGGAAGAAAATCCCAGGCTATAAGCCTATGAAGGATAGACTAACCTTACTGCTATGTACCAATACAAGCAGTGACCTAAAGATAAAGTCTCTCTTGGTTTATCACTCTGAGACCCTCTAGTCTGTTCAGAAAACATAAAGTCATGAAGAATAGGCTAGGGGTCATGTGAAGATCTAACGCAAAAGCGTGGGTAATAAGAATACTTTTTCTTGAGTGGATCAGGGAGGCTTTCTGTCCTACTGTTAAGAAATATCTAGAGCACAAAGGTTTACCAGTCAAGGCTCTCCTCATCATGGACAATGCTTCTACTCACCCACAAGATTTGGAAGAAGAATTGGCCGAAGAATTCCCATGGCTCTCAGTCAAGTTCCTCCCACCTAATACAACTCCTCTACTGCAGCCTATGGACCAGCAGGTTACAGCTAACTTCAAGAAGCTATACACCAAGGAACTATTCCTAAAGTGCTTCCAGATGGTCTGAGATACAGATTTAACCCTTAAAGAGTCCTGGAAGGAACATTACAACATCCTTTCCTGTGTGGGGTTAATTTAGAAATCCTGGGCCAATCTCTCTCTAAGGACATTGAGATCTGCCTGGAAGAAAGTGTGGCCTAAAATTATACAGAAGAGAGACTTTGAAGGGTGTGTAGAAGAGCCTGAGCCTTCAATTGACCCTGTGGTTGATGACATTGTCACTATAGCAGAGTCCATAGCCTTGTAGGTAGACAGTGGTGATATTGAGGAACTGGTAGAGGAACACTTAGAGGAATTGTCTGTAAAGGAACTTCAGCAACTTCTGGCTGAGGAACAGAGAATGACAGATGAGCAGCTTTCTGAAGAGGAAAGGGAGTATCAACAATCAATGCAGCAAGGTTCTTCTGAAATAAAGGAAACCCTGAAAAAATGGACAAAGCTACATTTATACAGAAGACTCAACCGGACAGAGAAAAAGCCAATCATTGCATTCACTTGCTTAATGATGATGCCATGTCATACTACAGAAGAGTGTTAAAGAAAAGACAGAAAGACAACCTTAGACCAGTTTTTAGTTCTGAAAATGATGAAATCTAGTGAGCCAGAAGCAGGTCCTAGTGGGCTCTCCCAAGAACAGAAAGGACACCAGAGAGCCAAATTCCTGATGTTCTTATGGAAGGGGGCTCTCCTTCCAAACAATAACCACCTTCCATTTCATTCTCCCTTCATGCAAGCCAAAGATGCAACTTGCAACTTGAATGGTGAGTACAGTATGAAATTGTTGTTTCTGGTAAACTAGGTACATTTAACTTTAATTTTTAACTTCTTATTGAATACACTAGGAAAATTATTAGTGTTTCTGGTAAACTATGCACATTATATAACCCTTTTTTAGAGAAGGTTAGTTAAGGGGTGTTTCAGAATGCATTATGAGTATTTCCATTATTTCTTATGGGAAAATAATCTTGACTTAAAACCAACTTGAGTTATAACCAGTCCTCACAAACAAACTGAGTTTGTAAGTCAAGGGTCCACTGTATTTGATATAAGGGCTATTAAAATACCTAACATGACTTTTTAAAAAGTACAGAAACAACTGTAATGCATTCCTATTAAAATGAAAAAAAATTACCTCACTTTTTGAGAATGTTAAACATGGAAAGATATCCTCCTGATAGATTTTGTCTAAGAAAGGACATGTTCTGTCCATTGTGGGCTCATCCTTCCAAGATCTGAATTCATTATACAGAGATAAATCAGCCTAACAAACAAAAGACAACATGAAAAAAGTTTTAAGAAGAACAAACATAAAAACACTTTATAAAACCAAACACTTTTATAAAATCTAAACACTACTGAAAAGGTAATGCTCTTTACTTAAAATAATAAATTGAACTGTTCCTAATTATAATATGAAAGCAATTTTTCTTTTAAAAAAACAACTCCCAAATGACTAGCCCTTTCCAATGTATCCACTATGGTCTCCAATGACACCACCATTTTCCTCACCTTGTGTCCCCCCCCAAATTAATGACGGAGCTACTCTTAAGAGAGGTACACACTGTTCTGAATATGAAAACTGGTGAAGTCTTTTCTGAAAATAATCAAAAAGCAATTTGGAGCCAAGTTAAGTTTTCAAATAAATTGAGAATAAATTATGAAATCTAGTTTGAGTCAAAATGATACTAATTGTGCTATTACTTCAAGGCAGTCCTAAAAGAACTTCCAAAATGTTTACTGAAAACAAGAAAACAAAAAGAAGTACACTATAGTTTACTAAATTGGCCATTAAACTTTTGGCATTTTGATGTCCAGTGTCTACTACCATCTGAATTATCAGTAATACATCCACGGCTAGCACTTGCCTTCTTAAGCACTTCTCTAATTGTTCCTCTTTTTTCCTTTTCCTCATGATAAATGTTCTCCAATTATTCTTCCCTAACGATTCTGAGATTCCCTTAGCCTCCCTAGCTCCATACCATCTGCTGGACTACAAAGTTGCAGCCACATTACCCAACCAAACACAGAGTGCTCTCTCCTCATGCAGTTCTAAACCTCTGTATCCAGATGCAATGGGTACCCTATGAACAACACACTGACTGCAGCCTGCAGCCACCTTCTGGGCTAGCTTAATCAAAGGTGCATGTAGTTCACATGAAAGTAACAAGAGGCTGAGTGTACCCAAGCTTTCCTACAGATTCTAAGGTGTATAATGGCAATTTCAATGTAAATTACTTCATCCCAATTCATAAATTCCTTGAGTCAAAGCTAGAGGCAAAAGGATAAAGAATATTAGCAGATAAACAGTAACATTTCCAAATTCCTTCTTTGTAAAGTTTACTGGAAAAAATGGACGTAAATCCCAAAGCAGGTAAATGGAATTCTAAGGAAAGACTCTAGTTTAAAATCAGTAATTTAAACCATTTCTTAAAAGCTGACTCTTGCAAAAACTATGATAAGCAATTTATAAACATTTAATCCTCAGAGCTGTGCAAGACAGATATTATGATCCTTCTGACAGACAAGGAAGCAAAGACTGAAAGTAACTTGCCCAAGGTTACACAGCAAAAAAATTCAAATTCAAATCTATGTGGCTTGATCCCAAAGCCTTGCACTGCATACTTGTGTCTGCATGCACGCATGTGTTTTAAATGCCTACAGAAGATATGTCACTAATATCATGATTGAGTGTCCCATCATGTTTTCTACAGAAAGACAGAAATACTTCGTTTTCTTTCAGATTGTTATATCTGTTCTAAGAATTATGTAGGTCAAATGTTTATGTTTCCTAAGTCTAATAAAACTTTTTGACATTTATTACAAAACATCAGAACATTAAGATACATCTGGAAAGCAAAAAGTTATTATTTTGAAGTTACATGTTGCCTATTCATACCTTAAAGAATTTCAAAATCTAAAAATGAACTCTTTAAATGTTCCATAATAAAATATTTAAATTTTTAAGTGTAAACAGTAGGGGAAAAATACAAAGTTATATACCTCCTCAGAAACTGTAGCAAAAATACAAGTTTTATTAAGCAACTAAAAATGCTACTCAAGGGCCAGGGATTTAGCTCAGTGGTGCCACTGCCTGCCTCACAAACACAAGGTCCTGAGTTCGATCTCCGGTACCAAAAAGAAAAAAGCTACTCAAGGGGCGGGGATTTAGCTCAATGGCCTTGCATCTGCCTGGCAAGCGCAAGGTCCTAAGTTGGAGCCCAAGTACCAGGAGAAAAAAAAAATGCTACTCAAGAAAATCAGAAAGTTTTTTAAAGTTTCTTAAATATTTAACAGATATCAATGTGAATTTTAGATTTGTTACAGATTTTACTAAGTACTGAACTTCTCTCTGATTAGCATTCTTAACTAAAATGCAATTCAATTAAAAGACTAAACTTTGGTTATTTAATTTAATAAATTCCTAGATTCCATGCCAAAAATTAACTGAATAAATATAAATAGCTTCTCCAAGATTAATGACGAATTTTAATTCAACAATGTAAAATACTGCTTTTAAAGAAAAAATGGGGGAGGGGTGCTCAATGAATTACTGATGAATCTCACTGGAATCATGTGCATGACATCATCATGTGCAATGACAAAATTTAAGCTATTTTATAATTACATAATTTTTACTCTAAGCATTCAAAACACATAATATCTCAGTTATCTTAATAATGTCTTCTAAAATGATAAGGCTATCATTTCTATTTTTGTTGCTTAATTATCTGAATTAACTCTAGAATTCCCTTACCAATATAAAATTCTGCTTCTCAGAATTTAAATAAAAAGTAACATACTAATCTTTAATTACAAATCACTTTATTTTCACATATTTCTTAGATTCATATTTTATTACAGCACTCTACATTTGGACTAACCAAGTCATTAAAGCCACTCACTCTCCTTTATGTAAGACATGACAGTTTGTTTCCTAAATAGAAAATTGAGATTAAGAAACTTACCAAGTTTCTAGCAGGTACTCCAAGGTCAGGCAGGTAGAGAATGGAAGTGAAGAATCCCTGAAAGCAGCCAGCTCTAGATAAAGCCTCCCCCATCTTAATATTGCACATTTTGTACTAAAAATTTTGCTGGCAAAAATTATAACTGACACCTCAGTGATGAGAATTAACAAGTACCAACAGAGTCAGAGGGGACAGTCCTTGACGAGTTACCTCTTTGCAGTCTTTTACAATTGGCTGTATCACACTGAGGTCCTGATGACTGCCACTCATAGCACTGCTTGTACTTTTATTTCTTGTATGCCCCCTTTTAAAAGGTGTCTTTCCACCTGGCAGAGGCTCTTGCGTAGGTGATGTTGGAGAACTGGACAATACAAGCGTCTTCAGTGCAGCTACTTCAGCTTGAAGAACATCAATCTTGAAAACAAATCAACATAGTCAAACACACTAAACAGTTTTATGACAGATGAAACTATATGTTAATGATTTGGGTAAAACACCTTCAAAGATGGAAAATAAATTTAACTGATACTTCCTGTAGACTAATAAAAAGAAAATACATCCAAGGTTTTTGATGTTTCCATGTGGTTCAGATTCAGCTACCAGTTATGAAATCAGATGAAATTTTTTAAACTATCAATTTTCAAAATCACTAACTATAACTTATGATTAGTTATAGCACACTCCTAAAATACCAAAATTTACTAACATTTAGATATCTTTTTCAGTGAATCAGGAAAATAAATATTAACTTTAAAATATGATTTTACAATCCTTTTGACAGTGCAAGTGATTTACAAGGTTTTCAATTATTTGGTTCTAATATAAATGGACACCAATGTTCACTGCTATTTTGTATTGTTGTGATATAGTAGCTATTTTCTTTATATTTTTCTGTAAAAAAAAAAAAAAGCACTACTTTTACTATTAGGACAAAATCCAGTAGATGTTGAAGTATCTTTAACACAATAATAATTTATTTATTTATATGTTATATTATTGAACAGTAAAAACTTACTTTCCCTTGTGCTTCTTTTAGCTGTTTTTCTGCAGTTGCCTGCTTGACATTTGCTTCTCTCACCATCTTATGAGCTTCCTGAAAAAGTTAATTATCTCATATTTTGGAAACAAAATATTTAGCATTTGTTTTCAAAACATTTTTACCAAGTGTCTATGATTGAAGCAAAAATATACTGCCAAAATTTAATCTGAAATTAAGAAATCAACTGTGGAAATGGCAGCAGACATCAGAAAAAGATAAACTAACAGGAACCAAGAATAGGTATCCCCCTAGTTATTACCTATTACCACTGAAGCAGTCAAATTGAGTTTAATCATCCTGATAGATGCTATGCAGACTGTAAAAGTGACCAACAAAACAAAACAAAACAGACAATGGCCCACGTGTCAAAACCAACTCCTTTGCACGTTCACAGCAAAAATACACAGGAAGGACAAATAAAAAATATGAACACATTTATAATGTAATTTACAGGAATTACAGAGAAGTCTCAGAGCTTCCAAGAAAATCATTCACAAAATAATATTAAGTAAAAAATTTGTACATGGCAACCCAAAAAGGTAACTCAAAGTTCACTCTTTAATAAGGTCTTAATTTTAACACCATAAATATGAAACCCTAGATATTTAATTACTTTTTATTCATACACTATCTACTCATCAAATATATATTCATGATATTTCTTTGTATCATTCTAGGAGCTGATAATATACTAGGTCCCAGCTCTTAAAGAACTTTTCTTACTACGTTCTAATAATCAAATAAACATCAGGGTAAAAATTCTGAATTTTATTCCAAGTGCAAAATGAAAACTTCTTAAAGCAGAAGAACAATATGATCTTGCATTTTAAAAAGATTACACTGTTATATGGAATAATTCCTACAAAGATTAAGGATGGATTGGAACAGTAGGGAATTATATAATCCCCTGGGATGTAAGAATTTATATTTAGAACTTCAATTTATAGTTTACTTGAATGGAAGACAGAGAGGAGGGAGGTCAAAGATATTTTAATACGTATATAGTCTGACAACTGCACACTCACAAAGGTCTGTCAGCTACTCAGTGGTAGAGTAGAGGAGTAAAAGTTCACTACATCAGAGCCTGATGCTGGCATTCCATTTGTCCACTTGCTTACAGTATACTGAGTTGCAGTCTGAGCGTGACCATTATCATGAATTTACAGGTCACACTAGTTTAAAAGAATTCACTATCAATAATTGTTATGGTTGGGATCTAAAATGTCTCCCAAAAGTTTCATGTGTTCAAACGTCGGGATTTGGGAAGATGCCCCACACGGGCATGATATTCTCAGAGCTGAATGTGCTGTTAGGCAGTGGGGTCTGGTTGGAAGAGGTGGGTCACTGAGGGCATGATCCGGAAGGCTGCGTCTCCTTCCCAGGCTCCTCCCTTCTCTCTGCTTCTTGCCCACCATGAGATGAGCACCTTTCCTTCAACTGACCCTTTTACCGTGTGTTTCCAGACTTAGAGCCAGCCAGCTACGGACTGAATCCTCTAACAACCATGAGCCAAAATAAACCTCTCCTCCTTTAAGTTGAGAATGTCAGATATTTCGTCTCAGCAATGAAAAAGTAAGTCAATGATTTTAACAAAATGAGATTAACTATAAAAAATATTCTATGTACCATTATGCTGATTAGCTTGGCAAGGTCCTTAAGAGCTGTCAAATTTAATGACCATTTTCCTTTTAAAATTAACAATGTTTCAGATGTGCCAAATTTTTCTGGGATAAGTAAAAACAGAAGATGATCTGGGAGATATTTTTTAAATAAAATATTTTAATTTTTAAAACATTTAATCTGATGCTTCAAGATAAGTGATATTTACAATTGCTGAAGTAACTTGTACTATGGAAAGAATATTTGTTCAACTGTTTGGAAATTAACTGTTTTCATTAATAACAGACTATGCAATTTGCGTAAAATTTCCAATGGAAAATAAGAAAAGTTGACAATATGTTTAAAAATGTGCCTGAATGAAAGTATAAGAGAGCTAAAAAAAATAGTAAAACTTTGGGGTCCAGATCAGGAAAAGTTAACCCAGAAAACTGAAGTACGAGTTGAGGTGGTCTTTCCACTAGAGACAAGGGACACAGTGAAAGATAACCCCCTTCCATGTAAGTGGGGTCCCAAATGGAAAGAAGGGAGCCAGTCTGAGGCAGGAGTATTATCTAAAAAGATAATGTACAGAATTCTGCAAATCAACAAAAACATCAAAAGGTAGATTTTTTTTAAGTTTGAAAATTAATCTATCATTCTCTCCTTCTGATGCTGAAAATGAAGTAAGCACAACCTATAGCAGGAGTCAGCAAACTTTTTCTGTAAATGGTGAAATAGTAAATATTTTGGGATTTGAAAGCCATATACAGTTTCTGCTCCAACTATCCAACTCTGATTTTGCAATATGAAAGCATCTACAGGCAATACATAAACAAATAAATGTGCCTTTCTCAGTAAACTTTATGAACACTGACAGTTGCATTTCGTATTATTTTTCCATATATCCATCACCTCACAAAGTTGTGTTTCTATTGTTTTGTTTTTAGGGTGATAATGGGAACATTTAAGATCTACCTTCTCAGGAAATTTCAAGTATACAACAGAGTCATCAGGCTGCACCTTAGACCTCCAAAATTTATTAATTCTGCAAAACTGAAATCTTGTTACATTTGACTAACATCTCCCATTTCTCCCATCTATCAACCTCAGGTGAACACCAATGTACTCTGTGCTTTTACAAGTTCAACTTATTTAAATTTCACATGAGACCATGCACCATTTTTCAGCGTATGGCTTGTTTCACTTAACATAATGTCCCCTAGGTTCGTCCATGTTGTCTCAAATAGCAGGATTTCTTTTCAAGGCTGAATAACACTCCAATTTTATACACATCAGATTTTCTTTACCCATTCATCCACTGATGGACATTTATTTTCATAGCCTGGATAATGAGAATATTGTTTCAATGAACATGGAGTACAGGAATTAAGAAACTAATTTTCTCTCCTTTAGATGTATACTCACAAATGGGATTGTTGATACTTCTTTAATTGTTTTTTTTTTTTTGGTACCAGGGATCGAACTCCTGTCCTTGCAGTTGCACAGCAGGTGGCAAAACCACTGAGCTAAATCCCCGGCCCAATACTTCTTTAATTTTTTGAGGAAGAACCTCCATACTGTTTTCCATAATGGTGGTACTAATTTATATTTCCACCAACAGTGTATGAGTTTTTTCTCCACATCCTTGCCAGTACCTGCTACCTTCTGTGTTTTGACAATAGCAGTTTAATAGGTGTGGGGTAGTATCTCATTGGAGTTTTGATTTGGATTTACCTCATGGTTAGTGATTTTGAGCACCTTTTCATATACCTACTGGCTACCTGCATGTCTTCTTAGAAGTATCTATTCAGGTCCATGGCCTATTTTTTTTTTTTTTTTGGTACCAGGGATCGAACTCGGGACCTTCAGCGTACACGGCAGGCACCAGAACCACCATAGCCTATTTTGAACTCTACTGTTAATTGGTATTCAGTTATTTACAGATTTTGGTTAAAGTATCAAGCCCATAACACATACAGGGTTTGTAAATATTTTCTCACACAGTAGCGTGCTTTTTCAATTTTTTGATGCTATGCAGTGGCTTCTCAGTTTGATGCATTCCACTTACCTATTTTTGCTATTACTGCCTATGCTTTTAGTGTCATATTCAAAAAAAACACTGCTCATTGTCAAGGAGCATTTTAAGATCATGATATACAGTGTATATACAGTTACTATTTTGTTATGAAATTTTATTTTTTCATAGAAGTGTTTTTGTATTTTATTAATATCTACTTGTATTACATTAAAATAAGAATTGTCATGTACACATACCAACACCACATGATGAATGTAATCATTATGTGGTACAAATGTAGTAATAAAAATTTTTTTAACAATGAAAATTTTTAAAAGAAGCATTTTGTTTATGTTAATTGTTTTATAGTCTCAGGTCTTACGTTTAAGTCTTGAACACATTCTCACCAGCTTCAATCACCAGTGGTACACGTATGATTGTCCCAGGGGGCAGCTGTACTGCCCAATGAGACAGTCATGTGTGTACCACCAGTGGTTCAAACCAACGAGAACAAACACGTTCAAATCAGAGCCAACCAGCAGTGAGACATATGAGTTACAGCCGCATCCTGAACATGTTTATCAATTTGAGACTTTTGTTCATGGTTTGAGATAAGGGTCCAATTTAATTCTTATGTATGTGGATATCCAGATTTGCCAGCACCATTTATTGAACAGACTATCCTTTTGCCACTGGGTATTTAACTCCCTTGTGAAGATGAGATAATTATAAACACAATTCTGAGCTCTTTATTCTGTTCCATTGGACTCTTTACCTTTTTATCAATGTCACATTGTTTTGTCACTCTGTCATATACTTTGAATTCAGAAAGTGTGATACATCCATTATTTATTTTTCTTGCTCAAGACTGCTTTAACTATTCAGTTCTTTGTGGTTTGTAGTATTAGTTTTCTCGTTACTGGGACAAAATACCTGACACCCACAACTTAAGGAGAAGTTTAATTTGGCTCACAGTCTGGGGGTTTCAGTCTATGGTAGGCTGACTCCAAGTTAGAAACAGCACGGTTAAAGGGCATGGAAGAAGAAATCTGTTCACTTCATGGCAGCCAGGAACCACAGAGAGAAGGGAGGAGCTGTAGGAGAAATATTTGTCCTTACAGGAATAGACACTTATTTCCAGTATGGATTTGTCTTCCCTGCATGTAATACTTCTGCCAAAAGTACCATCCATATACTTATAGAATGCTTCATCCACTGTCATGGTATTCCACCCAGCATTGCTTCTGACCAAGGAACATACTTCATGGCCAAGGAAGTGCAGCAATGGGCTCATTTTCTTTATATATATATATTTATTGGTACATTTTAGGTATACATTTACATTTATCACTGGTGCTTGTACCTGAACATGATGTATCTTGGTTCTTATTTTTTCCCCATTACCTGTGCGCCCTTCACCCCCTCCACTCTTCCCTAT